TTTGGTGGCAGTTCGGCAACATGGCTGACCAGTATGCAATGTTTGGCTGCGCGTACCCTGCGTGCAGGCATGTGCGCGTGCCACAGCAGTTCGTACCGTAAAGCTTTACCCAAAAGGTGCCCAAACGTTTGTAAGTGTTCTTTAAAGTAAAATAAGAAAAAGCTAAAAATCCACAAGGACTCGAACGACACGATCACCCTCGAGACAATCCAGAGAAAAGTACAAACAACGCTGGAAACTGAAACTAAGTACATATTTGAAAAAAACTTATGTTCTAAAACAAAACATTCGTTTTCTAAATGTTTATTCAGATCCTAATGCATATGATAAAACAAACCTGAATATGTTGCAAAAGATAGGTGTTATCAGTGGTAATAATGCGATTCGATAAGTTCTTGGAACAATTAATTTGGAATTTGCTTCATGAATATTGCTTGCTATTTCACAATATTGATTACGAATAAATCGCGATAAAAGCCCGGAAAGTTTTTCATTCAACTACATGTAAATCGAGACAATCAAGAGGAAAATACAAACAACGCTGGAAACTGAAACCTAAGTATTTGAAAAAACTTATGTTCTTAAAGAAAACATTCGTTTTCTAAATGTTTATTCAGATCCTAATGCATATAATAAAACAAACCTGAATATGTTGCAAAAGATAGGTGTTATCCAGTGGTCATAATGCGATTCGATAAGTTCTTGGAACAATTAATTTGGAATTTGCTTCATGAATATTGCATGCTATTTCACAATATTGATTAAGAATAAATCGCGATAAAAGCCCAAAAAGTTTTTCCCTCAACCACATGTAAAACAAGAAAAAATTATGTACTTAGCCACTTAAGCGTGAAAGGCGGTCAAAGAAAATTGTTAATATATTCATTGATGGCAAAAATAAATACATTTCAGTCACATACATTAAAAAAAACCCAAATTAAAGCTTGCTGATGTTCAATGGTCGGGTTAACATGAACAATACCGAACCACCCCAGCCTTTCCATGCAGGTAGGAAATGTGAATAGCAATAAACACCTTTGGGGGATTCTTCATAAAAAAATTGGCCAAAGTTGATATTATATACATATAAGTTGATTTAAATACTTACAGAAATAATAACTGAGAGAGCGGATTGGCATTCTGAACGGGATTGGACTTCTTCGGGTATTTCTGGGTAACATCCATGTTTCAAAAGAAAGTTCGTTCACTTCAATTAAAGAAAACTCCAATTAAAATGGAAAAACTCGCGGATAGTTTGATGAACTTGATATAATAAAGATTTAGGACAATAACGATAGACTATTGTTCCGTTCTATCAGAAAATTAACTGAAACTAAAATCACGCTCAATCCTTCAATTTATGTTGGAAGCCTTGGTGTATGAATACCGGGTCAATTTAGAAAGTTTTGCATCATTGCCAGATTATTTAAAAATCCAGATGCGTAAAGTGAGCGATTAGTTAATTATAATTAACTTGCTGGCAACTTCGATTCGAAAATAGAAGCTGTACTTTAATATTTTACTTATAAAATTGTTTCCAGCAGTTGTCGGTCCGGCATATAGGACGAATATACGAGAAGATGGTCAAATAAAAATCCCAAATTTCAGGCGATTATGTAAATTTGTCAACTTTTCAACATTATTTGTTTAGGCAAAAAACTTTTCAATTAAAAGTTAAAAGAATTGATTAGAATTATTAACTCAAATTGGATTAGATAAATAAAACAGTCGAATTAATAAATCGATTTTAAATTTGAAATGAAAAATCGATCGATCCCTTACGTTTTTCGTTTTGGATCCAAACCGAGTTAACTATTTAGTGCCTTCTTAAACACCTTTATATTCAATTTTGTAATTATTCGCGATAAAAAGCTTCAGACTATAAAAGAATTCAGCAGAATTCAGAAAGTAGCCATGCAGCAAAATACTGAACAAGCGCAAATATTCGGGTTTCTTGAACTGCCGGAAAATTTAAAATACCTATTTAAATATACGAGTACCACACGAAGAAGTGCACCACAACCGGTCGTACCGAGCAGACTGATTTTCATGGTCACGAATTTGTAATCGCAAAATTCCGATTTTGGTAACAAGTGTTTTTTGCCAAAAAACGTTTCAAGTAAAGAAAAAAACGTTCATTCGTAGTTGATTTTCATACGCTTCTGCTTGCGTTTCTGGGCGCCCACCAAAGCGTATGTCGAGAAGTAGATTGAAGAAACAAAAATTGTTTTTAAAATTATTTTTTTATTTCCACAGTTGGATCAGAATGCAATGAGTAATATTCAAATTAGGTTTTGTGACGATTCCCCGCGCACTTAGCTTGGGCGTTTTAGAAGCTAGAAAGCAAACTGAGGGCAAATAAATCAAAGGCAATAAAATGCTCTTTCTAATACACTTTTAAAATTGTAAATTGGTTAAAGGGTCACTGAGTTACACACCAAAAATAATACAAAGGCGGTGCGGTTGCAGTTTCATTTTAGCGGTGATTTTTTGCTTTCATTATTGAGAGTCCGGAGAAAGTTAGTGAAAGAGCGTAAAACTGAAAATTGTCTTGAAAATGTCGAGAAAAATTTAATAAACAGATCAAATAGAAGACAAGGATCCAAATGATAGTTAGAATAAAGGTTTACATTTTCATTAATTTTTCAATTTGGAATTTTCAATACCAAAAGTCAACGCAAGGAATTAATTGGAAATTTTTGATTGAATCTGTTAAAGAAAAGTCCTTTCTGCAATTTCGATGTAAACTACACTTTTAATAATACTACTAAACTAAACTACACCTTTAAAACTTTTAATTTTTTCTTCAACTTTCAATGCTGAAAGATCATTGTGTTTATTGGTTTCGCCGAACATGGGAATTCATTAGATTGAAGGTTTCCGAGGAAATTGAGATATTTATAAAATCTCTGTCTTTATGTTTCGAAGGAGGAATTTCTATTTTCCAAAAGTGCACGTTTGACAAATTTCTATTTTTGACATTCAACTCTCAGTGCCTCTAAAAAATTGGTGCGTTTATTGATTTGAGCAAAATTTAATAATTTAGAAACTTGAAGGTTTCCGAAAAAAATCACAAATTTGTGAAAACCTTCTTCTTTCGGTTGCCCAAGATTTTTTGTGCGCCAAACTCCACTGTTGGAAACTTTTTATTTTTTTCTTTCATTTCAAATAAAAGTGAAAAATCACCGCATTTTTTGATTTAAATAAAACTTGGTAATTTAATAGCCTGAAGATTAAGTTAAGTTAGTGTGTGAAAAAACCCTTAAGTTCCTTAAGGACTTTCGCACTTTTTCCAAACATTCTACTTAGATACACAATGAATTCGGTCCTAAATCCCCAAAAGCAACCGTTTTTCTCACACTGGTAGGGCATATTTTAACATTTGAAAAACTCTTTTGCAGACAAAAAAACCGTAAATAAATTGAATTTTTTTATTGAAATAAAAATTGCATTTCCTTAAGAATCGAACAATAAGTTTACACGCGTTCAGCTGCTGCCCTGTGGAAAGCCAGATGCGCTTCCCTGGCTGCTTTCACCTCTGGAGTGTCCTGGATGGACACCAAAGGCTGGGTTTGCAGGTTGGGATGGTCGACAAAAAATCCGGGACTTTGCAGGCTCGGCACCACCAAGTTCAGAGTTTCTGGAACCTGCACTGCTTGCAGCGGTACAGGAGCCATTGGGGCTACTGGCACAGGACCTTCCAGGATCCTGAAGCCATTCTGGTCGGCGACGTATTTGAAGGTTTGTGGGCCTTGAGGGCTTGGAATGGTGTATTGGCCGATGATGGTGCCATCAGCTAGACGTTCTTCGTTTCTGGACGAATCGCGAAGGAGGACGGAGTATTTGTAGGTGCCTACAGAGCTTTGGGTTACCGCTACATGGCCATCAACGCCCTCTGGCAGGGA